TTCCTGCTCCTCCTCTTTGAGCACTGAGAACAGCCACGTATGGACAAAAGTTTCCTGAGACATTTAAAATGTGCCTACTTTAAATTTCAGAGAAATACACACCTGGAGAGTTCTCTAGAGTCTGAATTTCTAGTTCCTATGAGATGGTAGGGGGGTTTGCCCCTTTTTTTATTTAGGTTGACTCAGCACCGGGTTTTTTGTTTTCTATTTTCTTGGTCTGCTGCAGCAGGGCTGTTAGGATTCAGCTCACAGAGACTTGTAACAGGAAAGCCATCAGCTGCGCTTGATCTCAAAAAGAAAAGATGGAAAAAATGGGGACAGTACTGGAGAAGAAGGGCTGCTGAGGGAAGGAAGGAGATATATGAATTATAACTGGGCTTCAGCGCTACTAAAATGGGCGAGAGACAGCCCCTTCCTTCCTCACAGCTCCAACAATTTCACTAGGGCTGCACCTGAGGACATGAGATAAAGGTCTGTCCTGGAGGTCACAGATCCTGTACCCCAAGGGCTCAGTTCATATTTCCAAGGCAGAAGAAATATAATTACTTGCCAACCTGAGAGGCAATAATTAAACTGACCAGAGTGGTGAAGGAGACTTTTTTTTTGTCTCAGGGAAAGAAAAAAAGGCAGTGTGTTACCTGGTCTGGTGGGTCTGAGGATCAGCTGAAGGCAAGCGGCTGACTCCCAGGATTAGTAAGTACCCTTCCTCAGAGGGGAGAGAAGTTGTTACAGAATGTGGAATAAGGCAAATGAAGTTTTTATTGCAGATGAAGACTGGGAAAAACTGCTGACAGCCAGCTCAATGGGCTGATGAAACAGCAGCCCCAGGGAGACTCTTCAAAGGCTCTTTCAGTTATTTAATGAAGTGTGGTTGAGTTTTGACCCCTCAGCTTCAGCGCCTGAGGTTTTCTGTGAGTGTTTGAGGTCTTGCTCCTACCCCTGAGCTCATTGACTACTTGGACAATTTTAAAAATCATATTTCCCTAGATTTAGAATGGTTTTCTTTCTTGCTGCATGAAAGGCCATGCAACTGACAGAACAAATTCATCACATGATGAAGCCAGGAGAGGGACCAAGCCCAGGAGCCCACTGGAAGCACTGGGAGCAGGAGGAGACCTCAGGCAACTTGGGCAAACCTCCTCCCCAGGCACCACCTAGGGAGCAAGGCTCCAGCATTCACCAGTTCCCACAGCACTTGTAACAACAGCAGGTTAAAGAAATCAGGTTTATTCGGAGAGAAGGGACTTGTCTTAAAACTTTTGACCAAGTTCTTTTAAACCACAGTGGAAAATGCACCGTACGGCACAGTGCACTCCTGCACTGGCAGGGGCTCCCATTGCCCTCATTAGCAAAGTTTCATCCTTTGCAAAACACAAGCTCACTCCCCTTTCTCTAGAGGTTACCATAACCAGCACGGTTTCCCAGATCCCTCCCTCCTGACCCCTGGCCTAGGACCTGCCACCCTATACCCAACCCCAGCAGCAGCCCTGCAGCAAACACAACCACAGCTGGGGAAAAATAACGCCAGAGAAACACATTTTTCAGCTCCACTTTGTGATTTAAATGAAGGAGAAGGACCCAGATGGGCAGCCCCCAGCCACTGCTCGGTGTGTGGCAGCAGGTCCCTGGCTCAGACCACCAGCACCCGTGACATTGCTGCAGTCCCCCGTGCTGGCATGGAACTCATGGTGAACAATGCCATGTTAGCCTGCAATATTGTCAGAATACCTCAGCGGAGGCTGCAGTGAGTTTCTTTTGCGAGCCCAGCACCTGCCAAGGTGCTGTCACCCTCTTGGCTAGAGCACGTAGAAGTCGTTGTTGTTTGACAGGTCACTGTAATGGCAGAGGGCGAGAGCAGGAGCTTGGGTTGGCGGGGGCTCGGGTCGACTTCTGCCCTGAACCCCCTGTGCTACAGGCCTGCCCGAGCCCAGCTTGCAGAGGTGAGGGTCCCACTTGGGCTCAGCCACAGCGCGGTGCTTGCGCTTAAGTCTGTTGCCGCCATTGCAATAGGTCCCACAACACCGGCACGTCAAGAAATGCTTGGCATGGTGCTTGGCCTTGGACTTGGGGGCCAGGGCTGTCCCTCCAGGACTGAGAGTCCCTGCCGCGGTGCCCTGTGGGTCGGGCTGCCCTTTCAACCGGCTCCTTCTCCTCTGGACAGGGTCCAGGCTGATGTCCGACTGGGAGGAGCAACTCTCGTTCCAGCCGGCGCCGGCGCTCAGGCTGCGCAGCGGCAGAGCCAGCCGCAACGCCTTCCAGAACTGGGAGCCAGAGCGCTTGGACTTCTCGCCCTTCCAGGTGACGAAGGAGACAGACTCCTTCAGCTGGAGGATGCTGGGGTGTGTGCACTGCAGCGGCCTGTACTCCACCACGATGAGCTTGGTGGCGATGGCGTTCTGGCACATGATCCCCAGCTTGAACTCCAAGAGGCTGATGCTCTTCTCCGTCAAGTAATCAGGACTCAGGACCACGATCATCCTGCGGCTCCTCTGGATGAAGTCAAACACGGCTTCCGTGGTATCTGAGAGTGCAAGGGCAGAGGAATTGGGGTGCACAAGGGGAGGGAGCGGGAAGAGAAAAGCCAAAGGAAGCTGTTTGGTGGCATACCTGCACATATCCCTCCTTCCCACAGTGGGAAACCTGCCACAGACCCAGTGATTTTGGACTTGCCCACGCTTCTGCCAGCAGGGACTGCAGGAGCAATGGCAGCATTTTTGCTTTGCAGGGGATTTTTGAGAAGGCTGAAGTGGTAAATGAGATAACCCGGACTGTACCCTGACTTCTGCCCTGCCCAGCATCACTGCTGCCCAGGGAAGTGCAGGCATTTGATAAAGGGCAGGTCTTGTTCAGGAACCACCTGCCCACAGCTCTGGCAGCCCTTTGCACCAGGGGAATAAAGTAAAGCAATCACATAATTCTGCCACAGCTCGCACTGCCGAGGCCGAGCTGCGCTTCCCTCCCTCTCATGCTCTCATCTAGAAATGGAAGCTTCCAAACTTAGAAAGCAAAAATATCATCCCTAAATCTCCCCATCAGTTCCCCTAGCTGTGATGGGGGGTGAAAATACTGTCCTTCAAAGCATTTATTGGGATTAACGCAGTTTGTAAAGCTCAGCAAGATGCTGAACTGGAATAGTGCCAGGCAAGGGCAACATCTCTTTTATTATGAATGTTGAAAAGCAGCAAACCTGAAGGATGTCCTTGGACTTCTATCTATGGCTTGGGATGAAGTAAGTATACTGAAGGTGTCATGGCTAATGGGTGAGCAGTGGACAGGATGGGACTTAATAGGGCCGTGGCACTTAGCAAATTATCCCAAGCTGATTAACAGAACTGTAAAAACTTAAAAAACCCCAGCCACTTACTGAGTGCTGGTGCCTGAGATGGGGATGGGCTGAGGTCAAGGTGGTGTTCAACAGGAGAGCACTGGAATAAGAGCTCTTGCACACTTGGTGAGAAAAACCTCATAGGAATGTCTTGCAAAGAGCTGTTCTGGGGAGAAGAGCTACCTCCTGCTTCACACTGCTAAAGCCTTGATTCCTCTGTTTGGAGACTCCCCTCCCTCCCCACCAGTGGAACACTGGTCTTTTTTAGATATAAAAATACCACTCCTTCCTGCAATGGCAATGCCTCTTATTCTTCCCGCACTTGGCTGTCTCTTTCCTTATCTCACAGCAGAAGGTGCACTGTGTTGCACCGAGATGAATCTTATTTTAATACTGTACAGAGCAATACTTTTTTTTTTTCCAAGATATATGACTAGCTGCAAAACTCATTGTCACTAGATTATTTGGGGACCAAGAACTTGGGATAGGAAAAATGACTGAACAGTAATATCTAATAGAGAAAGTAAGGCACTTTTTGGTTCCTTAAATTCCTACTGGAATTTAAATCTATTAGGTGTATTTTTTTCTTGCATACAAAGTTTGGGGGGATTTCCCCCCTCCCCCCCCAACACACACAATAAAACAGATTCACTGAAATAAAAAATAGATTATAAAGTCAGTTCTGTCAGAATTGTCACTTAACACTGTGAAACGTTCTTGCCACCCTGTTTCAAAGGCACAAAGAATTGGCAGCAATCTCCCAATTTACTGAGTCCAGACTTCATTCAAACCTTTCTATAACTGATTGAGATCTATTTTGAAATCAGCCAAGCTTCAACATTTTGTGAAAGAAAAAGCTCCTTTGCTAGTTTGAAAGGTCTTTTTTTTTTTTTTTTGAAACTGGAATCACAAAATCGCAGCAAAATGTAGGCAGGAGCAGCCCCTTGGAGGTCACCTATTCTACCTGCCTGCTCAAAAAGCACAGGTTCAATTAATGTGAATTATTCCAACACTGCTGAAGTGAAATGTTTTGATTGAGCTGACAGTGATGGTTTTCTTTTACCAATTTTGAATTTGCAACACTTTTTGAGAATCAGTGGGGTTTTTTGGCAAGGGAAAATGCTCAAATTCCCAAAGATAGATTTGATTTCTGAGAATGTGATGCTTTTAGACTTGGCTGACCAGGATACCTTGGGATGTTCAGTTTACAGTGTAATCCCAGCCCACAAAAAATCCTGAGTGGTCACTTGGGATGGTGAGCGTGCACGTGGGATGGTCCCTCCAACAGCACAGGATGGGACAGGCAGCAATAATGCTACAGGGGCTTGGGTACCAACAGAGCTGGGAATTTGATACTCTTGGATCTCTGCTTTATACTAAAAACTTCCATCTTTACTACATGGTTATGAAGAACACTACATATTTTTGTTGGTTTACTTGTGTGTCCTCTAATACACCCCAGAGATGTGCCACACATTTGTCCCAGTCCAATAAAAGCTGGTGGGGCACGGATACCATAACCCACAGATCCCAAATCCATAGATTGTCACAAGTATTCATTTTGCTAGTGGTCTGGAAGTGCTAGGCTCCCTCTCAACTTACCTGCTAGCATGCAAACAAGGGAAAAAGAAAAAAAATAGTGGCTTGGGTGAGAAAACATTTTACATTAATATTTTTTAGCCAACTAGCTGGGAGGTGATGGGCAAAGTAGTCTAAAAGTGAGTGAGATTTCTGTGGTTAGGGTAAATTTCCAAGATTTCTGTTCAACACTCTGACTTGGTCTCTCAAGCAAAGGGATGGTGTTACTTTCCCACTTTTCCACCTTGTGATTGCTGAGTGAGCAATCTTCAGGTCAGAGACTTTCTGTGTGTGTGTGTGTCCACTGCCAGGTGACATCTGAATGCTGCATGTCACTGTGTTTCTGCTTGCATGGCCCTGGTAGCAGTGCTGGTGCCTCAAGATCTCTGCAGGGAAACCATGAATCAGCCAGGAAAAATGCCCCCATCTAAGGAGGTGTCTCCAAATGATATTGCTGCTTGGGCTACACACAACCATCTTTCTTTAAAGGCCTTTTGCAGATGTAAAGGAGGAAAATGATACTTATGAGAAATGCACATGGACTGAAATGCAAAAGTAAAAATGTTTTATTAAAAAGCAAAATAAAATAATACTGACACTTCACAGACCAAATAACACAAAGGCAAAAACATACAGAAAAGAGAAGGGAAAACGCTGGAACAGCTGTACAACATCAAACAGCATAGGGGGAAGGTATTTTTTTCCAATTTGTGCCACACTGTTTCCCCATGAAATAACAATGAGGAACTTGGTATGAGCTGCATATTGATAAATGGTAGGTTAGAGCACAGAAACTCAATCAACTGTGGTAGAGAGATGCTGTGACAGAATCCCATAATGGAAACCACAAGTGGCACAGGATGAAATGGCAGCTGTACTGAGGTGCTTTGCAGATCTGCATTACAGCTGGGACTGGGGTTTACCCCTGGCCTGACAGCTCCCAGCAAAGCCAGAGGTAAAACTCCCAGGGGAGGGGAGCTTGCTCCAGTGCGACTCCTTGCATGTTGCTCCCTCTGGACCTCTTGGGCCCTCTTCAGACCATCACACTTTTTGCCTTGTGGGTGCTCTGCTGATGTCTCTCAGTAATCCCTTCTGGGGTTGCAATGGCACCAAGGGCTGCTGCAATGTACACCAGAGCAAGTCCTGGTCTATTGTTTATTTAGAAAACTCTTTGAATAAAATCAGAAAAATCAGGTGGATTTAACTTCCTAAATAATCAGACTAACTAAAATACCAGCAGAAGTTCTCTTGGTATCTCAGTCAAAAGCAAGATGTGATGTGGCAAGGTCTGGGATGTTAATTGAATTTATGCATACTTTTGAGTCAATTTTTTAAAGATTTAATTGGAATGTAACACAGTTCTGCTTTGGCCTCAGGGCCTTCCCTCTGTCTGAAGAACAGGCAGCCAGTTGTGTGGAAAACACAAACAAAAAAGATGAAGCTGGGCAAAATGAAGTGGTTGCAATGGCTTCACAAAGCTGAACATCGTTTTGGGTGCTGTCCTGGTTTTGCTGGGATAGAGTTAATTTTCTTCTTAGTAGTTAGAATAGCTGTGTTTTGGTTTCTCTGTAAGACTTGTTATGGGAAGAACATTGATAGAAGTACTAATGTTATTAGTTGCTGCTGGAGCTCAAGGCCACCGTGTTTGGCTGTTTCAAAGCTGCATTAGGACTGGGAGGGAGAAGCACAGTGAATAGCAAAACCCAAAATTGGCATTTGGATGTGCCAATGAAATATTCCAGATCATATCACGTCATGTCAGTATGTTAACCAGGGTTGACCAGAAGACGGGGGTATTCTCTCGGGGATCACTTGGGCTCCCTCTTCCAGGGTTTCGGGACTGTCTCGGCTCTGGGATCGCTGGCTGCCACAGGCTGGGCATTGGTCAGAGGGTGGTGAGCAACTGCACTGTGTATCACTCATTTGTATATTCTGTTATTACCATTGTGATCATTATCATTTCATTTTAATTAGTAAATAGTTTTTATCTCAACCTTGAGTTTCCCTGCCCTTTTCTTTCCTATTCTCTGGGCAAGGGGAGGGGGGGGGAAGAGAGCAGGCTGTGTTTGGCTGCAAGCTGCAAGCCAAAGGGGTGAATCCACCCAAACCACCGCAGGTGCTATCGCATACAAATAAAGCTTTCTGTAGCATGGGAAGCAGCTCTGCCCCTCCAGAGACAGCCACAGTAGAAAAGCTCGTAATAGCAAAGCTTTCTAGCACCTCTGGGCAGATGAGGAAGTCCACTGCCTTCAGTGAAACTGACTGCAATTTTACCTGCTTAAAGCAAAGCTTACTTGGGGCAGAAGGTGAGAAAGAAGATCTATTTGTTCTACTTTTGTACAGTACCTGCCCAACAGCATGGGTGGCTGTGGCTCCCTATTGCCCTGGAACGACATTATTAATCACAAGGCGCTAAGAGCAAGGGGCTTTGCCGATGCCAGGATTCAGCCCCACACCTTTAAGGCTGGGCTGTTTACTGGGACATCCTCAAATCTCCCTGCTCAGCTGGGTGAATAGTGCATAGACTCCAAATTGTAGTGCTTTTTTTTTTAATGCCATTATGAACGGCTACGCTTCACCCGCTGGACACCAACAGAGCAAAAGCATGAGTCAAAGTGACTCAGGAGCAACCATTATCAACAAACACCAAGCATGCACTTAGTGTGCCTAATACTGAATTCCACAATTAAGTGGGCAGGCGCTTGCATTAGGAGCTACAGGAGTTTGGAGGCACCTCCAGAGCTTGTAGTTTTATGTGAAAACAGTGAACCACGGTACTAGGCAGTGCCAGGGTCCTGCTGTGCTTTGGTCTGTCCTACAAGGGAAGTGACACTCCCCTCCTTGGTCTGAAAAGCCTGTCTGCCGGGGGTAGCTCCCCAGGTCCTCTCCTATGCCTGCTGCCTCCCTTTGAAGCAAGGACTGGTACTCTGTGATTTTTTATATTTCAGTTTTGTGCAAAGGCTGCAGAAGCTGAGATACTTCCCCTGTTCTGCAACTCTGGTCTGGAAACAAGATGGGTGGAGACTTGCTTTGTAAAGCCAAAGCTAGTTTAAACCTGAGCCCTGAATTATGAAAGGTGATGATGTTCATGCCCATGCAGAGAACACTGAGTCTCCATAAAATCACAGAAAAGTTTGGTTTGAAAAGGACCTTCAAAGGTCATCTAGTCTGAACCCCCTGCAACAAGCAGGGACATCTTCAACTAGAACAGGCTGCTCAGAGCCCTGTCCAATGTGACCTTGAATGTTTCCAGGGATGGGGCATCTACCACCTCTCTGGGAAACCAGTTCCAGTGTTTCACCATCCTCATTGTAAAAAATTTCTTCCATATATCTAGTCTAAATCTACTCTTTTAGTTTAAAACCATTATCCCTTTTCCTGTTGCAACAAGCCCTACTAAAGTGTCTGTCCCCATCTTTCTTATAAGCTCCCTTTAAGTACTGGAAGGCCACAATCGGGTCTGCCCAGAGACTTCTCTTCTCCAGGCTGAACAACCCCAACTCCCTCAGCCTTTTCTCACAGTCTTACCCAGCTGGACAGATCTAGTAGTTTTTACTAAGTGCAAATAAATTTGTAGGGTCTCCTGGGGAGTTGGACATATATCTAGTGTCATTCCAGAGGCCTTGGCAGCACCTTACACAATGCTTTCCCTCAGCCAGCAGCACAGAGGCAGTAGGTGGGTAAATTGGGGTTCCTTACAGTGCTTGTGAAGTCCCTGAGTTTACAAAGAAGCATCTCTCAGACATGCTCCATGGGATGTACTCTTGAGAGATTTCCCCTGGATTATGAGCATCACAGCCCTGAAGGATCTGGGGTACTTGGAAGACTGTAGAGTCCCAGAGACTGACCACTTATTAGTAGAAATGCTACAATACAAATATCACCTAACAGAACTTTTTTTAAAAAAAAAAACAAAAAACCAACTTTTGTAACAGCCATTTCACATTGCCAAACTACCTGAATGCACCTACTCCTACAGAAATGGGGGGAGCAAAGATGAGGAGCCTCAAGAATCTATGCTCCCCCCACTATATAGCTGGGACATGTATGAAAGGCTCTATACTGGAGCTGCCTTTCAAACTGTTCCCCAGCCTCTGCAGCAGGGACCAATAACCAGGAAGGAGTGAAGCCACTTAGGAGAGGAAAGGAGCTCTGTCCTGGATGCTAACAAAGGTCCCACAGGAACTGCATCTAGGAATACTGGCCTATACTAATGCCATGCTATTACAAGGTGCTGGCTGCATCCCACCTGGATAGCTTGTGTGGTTGGTGACAAGGTCGTGCCTTTGCAGAGAGGAGGTGTAGGCATCTTTGGTCTCTCTACTGCCAGGGCAGTAGAAAAGCTGCAGGGAGGTACGACTGTTCTCTGAAATGCTTAGGACACAGTCCTTCATGGCAAAAACTCCAAGCTCCTTCCCACTCCCTGACCTAACCTGTGGATTTTTAAAGTTTGTTCTGTTTTGTTTTCTGATGGCATCAGACATTTTTCAGGGATACATATGAGCCCATCAAGGCTCAAACTCCTACTAATTTTTTTCACTGGCATTTCCACCTGCAGCTGCTTCCAGAACCTGCCCTTTGGGAACTTGGATTTCTCGCCTTTCCATTTAATGACAGTCAAGGCCGCCTTGGCCTGCTTCAGCTCCTTCACTTTGCTCTCCTTGATGGCTTTGTACTGCACTAGAATGACTTTGATGTTGCCCTTGGAGGCCATATTCTCTAGACCAGCCTTGAGCTCCAGCAGGGCCTGTGTCCCCTGCAAGACGTAGTTGGGGCTCAGGACAACAAGCAGACGTCGGCTTTTCTGGATGAAGCTCAGGGTTTCATCTGTGACAACTGGGAGAAAGAAACATTGAGGTGGTTAGTGATGGCTGAGAACATGCTGCTGAGCTGCTAGTGTGACACCAGGTATCTCTTGAAGGGGACGATAAAATCCCTTGGAGGCACTCTCTAGAGACTATACTGGTGCTTCCCAACCCTGCAAGTGATTCCAGGTAGGGCCACCCACACAATGGCTGGGATTCACTGCCCCATACAATGACATCTTCTACTCTTTGCCCTAGGCTGCCTACAGATGTGCTTCCTCCTCCTTATACTGCATGGAGATGCCTGAAGTAGCTACATCTAAAAGGCACTGTACTACATAGCAGTGACACCACCCAATGCTATGAGGATGCCATGTGGCCAAGAGGGCTGCTCTGGTAGGCTTAGATGTAGCTTTCTTCTAGTCAGAGTGGAAAACAAGGCTCCCTGGAGCAAAGCAGGAAAATTGCCAGCTCAACAACACGACCTCAAGGAAAAGACTCAGTCTGAAGAGGTGTGGAGAAGCCCAAATGCCTATGCTTACATCCTCCTCTGGCAGATGTCCAGAATGACTCTGGGTAACACTGTCACTCCTCTTGCCTCAGTTTCTCCACACCAAACACACACAGTAAGTATCTACACCTTCCCTAAGTATTCTCATGGAAATCCTACCATCCTAACTGCTGTTACTCATCCAGCTGTTCTTGTTGCTGTCATTAATGAAAGCAGATTTGAGTGTTTCTAGGAGTGACAAGTAAACTGCTCTGAGGACTTTTAATGAAGTGTCCCAAAAGTGACACCCTTTGAGCTAGACACATGTGGAACTGTGGATCCTCTTTGATTTTATAACATTTTCAGGTAGACTATCCTCAGGCACCTTCCTGTAATTAATGTGAAAATTCCTTATAAGTGTGAATCCCAGTGCTTGCACTCTGCTGAAGGATCTCCCATGCTTCATTGACAAGGGAAGGCTCTTGACTGGTCAGAAAATACAATGCAGAATAAAATAACACTGACAGGCAAGTTCATTTAGCTGTCAAGCACGTTTGATTAGTTACTGTCATCAAACTCACGGGATAATCCATCTCCCACTGTTTCTTCATCAAGGACAACATAACTCTCTACCCGCGACACAGATGCACACTCTGGAGGCATGACACCAGCTGCCAAAAGCTATTTTCTGGCCAACCGTGCTTCCCCAAGAAGGAAACTAGTCAAATCCTAGCCAAGAAGCAAGGGGAAAGCCCCAGCAGTGTTGCAAACAGCAGTGCAATGACAAGCCACCCCAGCAGTGCCCCAGAGGGCTGGTGCTGGATTCAGGCTGGTAGTGACTGCAGGGATGGAAGCACTCCAGGGGTGAGGGTGAAGGGCGAGGAGCCCTGAAGAGCTGTGCTGGGAAGAAAATGAGACCCTCCAAAGGGAAAGGAGAAGGATGGCAAGAAGCAGCAGAGGCAGCAGGAGGAAGATGTACATCTTGAAGAACAGTTAGTGAGAACAGCTCAGAGCAAACCTGTTCTGAGCCTGGCACTGGCATCAAGCAAATAGAGCCTGGAGGGTGCCCTGCCCTGTCATCTAGGCTCTGGCTAGAAGGAACAGCACCAGGACTGCAGCTTTCTCTCTATCCCGACACACACATATTTATTTGCCCTCAGAGATGCTGTGTCCTAGCAATCGTCTAGGAGATAAAGATAACAGATCCCAGAGTGATTCTGCTTTCTGTCATTCAGCTGGGCTGGAACTCCAGCAGTACTTCCTGTCCTACTCAAAAGGGAACCCAACTGACTTTATCAGCACAGGTTCTGTCATCAGTAGGGTCCTGACTCAAAGCCCACAAACTGAAAGTGGGGTGCCCTGCAGTAGGAAAAGTTCAGGCGTTGAACTTTTAGCAGGAATCACAGAGCATGAAGCCAACACAGCCCCCAAGACACTGGAAACTGAGTGTTGGCCAGATTTGTACTCTTGCTGTGGCACCTATGTGACTGTATGCTTATCTGGAGAGTTTCACAAACTTCTATTCTCTGTGATTCCCTTCATCCCTCCAGCAGACACTGTGTCCAGAACCTTGTACAATGTAGCTTGAAACCGCAAAAAAAAAAATCTGCATCTTAGTGAAGAAGTGAGTCTCACTACCTGCAACAAAGTACTCTTAATCACAACTTAATTGTATGCCATGTTAGACCCAGACTCTCTAATTAAGGAAGGTGAGGTGGGAGGCCTTCTAGGAGGGCACATCATGTTCTCTCTGATGTTGGCATGGTGCTCTCCACACCTCCCTGAAGCAGACACTCCTGATTTTTACAGGCCTCACCATTTACTCACCATTACCCTCTGTGAGCTAGCAGTCTGGTCCAGTATCACACTCCCTCCGCCTCTTTTCTTTCTAGCTTTGACTTTATCCCTGTTTTCGAAGGCAGCTAGAGGGTCTGCATGGTCAGTGGTCTGGTTCCCTCATGTTGATAGATCAGTCACTCCTGCACATCACTCCTGGGGAGAGTAACTGAAACGGCCAACAACGACCACCTGCCCACTGCAGCCTTTTTTGGTGGCCTGGAGTATCTGCAACATTGTCATGTGAAGCAAAAATGTTAGAAGATACCAACAAGAGATCGTTAATGGAGATGGGGAAAAGACAAAGGATAAAGTTAATCTGGATAGGTCAGTTCTTATCAGTTATCAGTACCTCAAAGAACAATAAAGAGAGGATGCACATGGAGCACAGCCCCCTGTGAAATACTCACTTCCCCCAGGGAGGCTGTCTCTGTCGAAGATACACAGCTTGTACCCAAACTCATTCTCCAAGACTCCCCGCAGCGTCAGCAGCACAAATTCCTCCTCCTCTGCGTTGCGTGCATAAGACACGTACACATCGTACTCCTTCCCGTCTGAGCATTGGGAGCACAAGAGAAACACAAATGGCAAGAGAGACACTTGTGATACTGCACATGCTGAGCCTTTGACTTGCTTCATGGGAAAAGCAGATATTGAAAGCTTGCTTTGAGCCCAGGCACCACAGGTTAAGACACATCGATTCCCATAGTTACAAGGCAGCAGCTCTGCCTCTTTGACAAACCAGCCTGAACATGCAGGTACCCCGACACTGCTGTGTTGCTGAAGGCACGAGACCACAGCAAGATGACCAACCCATTCTGTCTGGAGTCCTTTTGTCTTTTGACATCTCTGACATTGCTTCCTCTCATTGCTGTCTATCCACATGAGCAATTCCACCAGACAGGCACTTGCACCCTGTTTACACCCTCTGAGAGCTGCTGCACCCCCTTGGCAGGTTCAGAACACCAGCTGTGAGGGCTTGAACACCCTACAGAGGTGTTCATCCTACAGAGGAAGGAATCTCAGCTCAGAGTCACAAGAGGTGAACTCACAGTAACACAGGGACAACAGAGGGCAATATCCAGATTCATCCTTTTGGATGCTCTCCCACATTTTAAAGCAAATCAGTCTGGATTCATGAATCCTTACAGAGAGTCAGCAGAGAAACCAGAGACTTATTGAAAATTAATGACTTATCTTGACCATCTAGATCAGATGAAACAGCTAGCCATCATCAGGGCAGTGCCCTAGGGAGCCTGACACATCCCATGCTTCACCTCTGCAGAGAACAGAGGACTTCTCTCACCTTTCCCCTTACCCAAAGCCTGACTCCTCTTGCTCTAAAATGACCCACACAATTCAACGCAAGTATGGAAATGTAAGGTCAGAATGTCATTATGCTGTGAAGAGGGTTAAAAATAGCTTATATGAAAATTCCTATATGAAAACAAAGGGTCTGGCCTGTAACAGGATAAAATAAATGTAAGCCTTCTAACTCCTTACCTAGAATGGTTTCATCTGTTCCAAAGTGAGCTCGATAGAAGAGGACCATTTCAAGCCAATAAACGTGATAGACGACTATCAGCAACACAATGAGCAGGATGGTTGCCCCCAGCCCACAGGCGAGCTCCACGGTGTACTTCGGTGCTACAACTGGGTTCAAAAAGAAAGGTGGGGGCTGGTTTACAGAACAGGCTGGGCCTTCAGCTAAGCAAGAACAAGCTTGTGTCACCTGCAGCCAAACACCACTGAGAAACAGCCAAGAGCCAAGCCAGCCCTTCAGAGGAAGGTGGCCAAGCCAAAGCTTTTCTGGCAGGACATGTGATGGCTAGCCACCCTGGAGTCCCCATTCTGGGTTACTAGGTCTGGTTGGGCTGGCAGAACAAATTAAAGCACAGGCTGGACTTCTGTCTCTGAGCTAGAATCCTGGGAGCAGCCAAATGGTAGAATGACCTGTTGATGGAAACCACCTGCACTGTCCAAAGCAAGCTCATGACGTATATATAAACTCTTGGGGAAAACCAGCAGCATTTAGTTCTAGGAGAGCCAGCCAAAGCTCATCTGCAGCAAAATAAAGGCAACGGCCATTATTTTCCCTCCCCATCAAACACACACTGTTCTTGTGGCTTGTCCCACACTGACAGCAAGGATATAACTAGCCACAGCCTAATTGTTTTTCTACCAGGAAAGAAGAATCAGAGTTCATTACAGAAGAGCTGAAATGTGTGTAAATAAATAGGACAACCTGTGGACATCAAGCCAGAACATCACAGGTTCCCCCTCCAACTCATACAGTGTCTGTCACACCACTGCTGCTTCTTTGTATTAAGGACAGAAAACAATTCTTCTAACTGTATCCCTGGGCAACTCTGATACTCCGTGCTGACATGCACACTGGCAAACTGCACAATAAAAGAAAAGCAGTGAGTGGAAACATCACCAAAATCCAAGATTTAATGTTTTATTGGAAACTGAATTAAAAAACAGAAAATGCAAGGAATTTAACAACTTTCATTAGGTGATGAGCAATAGAAGTACATGAGAAGGAGAGGGAAATCATCCAGTAATCTGAAATAATTTCAAGCAGCCTGTCCCACCAGGACTGCTTCAATTATAGTACACGGTTGGGTGAGAACAACAGGTCTATCCACCCCTCTCTCTCCCCAGGCACTTGACCATGGTAGGGTATATATGACATGCACCCTTTGCTCCCTGCCTCCAAGAAGTGGAGCGGTATGACAGCAATAACACAGCAGTGCATACAGAACAATGTGTGTTGGGGAAAAAGGCCTGATGGAATTATTTGTTCCCCTACTGTTTTGCAGGGCAAGGCTCAAGGCAGGACGGAGAGCCCTCTCTGAGCCTGCCTCACTTCACACCCATGCTCTGCAAGCATTTTACCTTTCATGTGCACTATGGCCTGGCTGTGGCCCTCGCCTTTGGCATTTCTGGCATAGCAAGTATAATTTCGTTTCAAGTCCTCTGGCGTGGCTTTTGTAACTGTTAGAGTCCTTATGACAGTTTTGTCTTCAAAATCGCTAGTAATTTCACTGTAAGAGAAAAATTAGTGCATTACATACATGAAACTGTAGCAAGTTCTTAGTGACAAATACTCCTTGCCCTGATACAACCCAATACTTTCCTTAAAAAAAAATCAAAATACCTAAACTGATATTTATAAATTGATACACGCTTCAAATTTTAATACAGCTGCCACTGTTCTTTTATCTGATTTTTCCTTAATATTTCTTTTGCCACTCACAATTTTCTCATTGCAGCTGTGTCATACTGCATTTTAGAGATAGAGGAAGTTCTTCTCTACAAAGCAACAAGATCTCCTGAACTCAGGATCCGCAGCTCACATCATATTCCCTGCAATCCTGGATGAGTCACTTTGTCTCTCCCTGCCTGAACCAATCAGCTGCAAAATGGGGATATTACTATTTCCTTTTGCCTTTCCTTTTTCTACATAGGTCTGAAAATCAATTGGGGCAGTGACTGCCTTCCACATGTAACTTAGCACGCAGCAAATGGGACTCAGCCTCATTTGGGTTCTTCACATAACTGAATCTCTATTCCTCCTAATCAATACTATGTATAATACTATGTTCTTGTTTTCAGCCTCTATTTTTTGAAACATTTTTATCACTCATGCTATTTGTGAAGATTCCTCTAAATAAAATTGTGTCTGCCCCTGTTTTAGACATCCTACAATAGCACCAGTTGTTGGCACCACTACGGGGACCTGAATTGGTAAACAAAGCTCCTTCAAATCCTTCTGTAAGATGAGACACTGTTCAGGTCTGGAGGCCTCCTCTCTGGAGCTCCTGGTGCTCATCACGGCATAGGGCAGACACAGGGGTTTGTGATTCACAGGGAAGTCGGGGACTCCACACTCCCTTGCAAGGGAAAATGGGACAACCACATGTCTGTACCCACCCACCTCTGTAGGACCCAGAAGAGGGCTGGATACAAATCAAGGCTCACATTACTGTTACCTTTCTGTGACTTTTATCTTGGGGTCCATGATGTCACCTGTGTTTTTCCCATCTATAGTCCACCACACCTCAGTGCGGGAGTCCTTCAGGAAGGTGAAGAAGACCTCACAGGACAGAACAAGGTCATCTCCTGAGAAGAAATGACCACAGTGAAGTACTATAAAGCAGGAACAGCATCACCTTGACTTTTGTGCCTTCCAGTGATCCTGCCAGCCTGAGCCCTGCCTCCCTCCAGGAGGGAATGAGACCAGCATTTGCCTTCAGACATCTGGTAACAGTTTAACAGCCTGGACATGTTGATTTTTGACAGACAAATAAATAGGAAAAAATATCCTGCCTTCTCAAATGTATTACAAATTACTTGTCTGCACCAATTGACCCACCCAAAGGGAGATGCTCCATGCCAAGCACTTCCTTGGAAAGCCAGGTAGTGTTAATCATCCCCACTGCACAGGCGACAGATGCCATGAAGTGAAGGATCCAGATCCACAGAAGCATTTTGATGTGGGAACATTTGCTCAGTTATTTAACTTCCCCTTGAGATCTGGCTTGGGAGTGTGACTATCTTTGTGATTACTCCATAAGCGATTTTATCTTATAGAGTGACTATGGAAGAAATCTAAACCCCTGAGCCAAAAAACCTGTGCTTTAAAGTGAAGACTCTGCTGCTAATCATCATCACTGGCACCACATTACAGCAATGTAATGGACATGATCCATTCAATACAGGGAATTGCTCCAAAGAGCTATTGGTCTAAATAGATGGGGTGGGGGAAGGGGTGTGGTACCCTATTACACAATGCTGTGAGGCCAGCCAAAGGAGAGCTGTTATTAATTAGGAAGTAATCAGCCAAAAAAAAGGGAGAGAAGATGAGAAAAAAGTGGCCAGAAGGCTGAAGACACCGAGGCACTGAATGAGGGAGGGCTGGAGCAAACCACAGCAAGAGAAAGGGCTGAGACAAGGTCCTACAGGAATTTCTCTAAGCAGCTGAGGGTCCTCGTTTCATATGCTTCTACAGCAGCAGTGCTGCATCTCTGTGCCTGAATATCTAACTTCATTTGTGCTTCTGTTAAACTTTTAAAACTGGGGTCTCCTATTCTGGCATCAAGAACTGGCACCCGACATCATCTGCCAGGCAACTTGTGGCAGCTCATGTGCTCTGTGAGGGAGAGCACTGGGGAGCAGTGGAAGGGGAAAGCTGCTGTGCCTGGCTAGGTCTCTCCACCCCGACAGGCACGCGGCCAGGGCAGTGACAGCAGGCAGCGAGCGTGGAAATTTACCTGCTTCCAGTTCGTAGACAACTTTCTCATTTGGAGAGATGAATTGTGGTGGCAAGGCCTTGTTTGGAGATCCTGCAGGAGAGAACAGAGAGCCCCTCATGGGGACCCAAACTTCATGAGAACCTGGGGTTCCTGAAGCCTCACTCATGATGCCCTCACACCGCGCTGCACATGCCCCCATCTAACCTGTGATACAATCCTGCTGCAGAGTTCCATGCAAAGAGAAATCTAATCCTAGTCCCCAAACCCAGGGCCAGACCCAGATTTTGAGGCCACTCCAAAGTTTAGGCAAGCCTAGATACAAGTTTTTGGGCCTCTCACATCAGAGAAGCTCCATACCCTTCTCATCTCCCACAAGACACAACCTGTACCAGTTTATTTTTATGGGTGTTTCTAAAGAACAAAATACAAACATAATTTCCCGTCACAAGTATTTAATTTAGCTCTTAAAGCAGCAGTTGCCATGGGACTCAGCAGGTACTCTACTGTTCACTAGGTTTTTAAGCTCTGTCTACATTTCCCTGGCAAGTAGGCTGAGCCCTTTGCCTGGGACAGACCTGTCTGAGCACTGGGCTGGGTAACTGGAGCCCTGCCTGACTGATAAACAGTCTCCACCTCAGCACACAAGGCTTTGAGATTGCAAGAAGACCGAGGCAAGTTGGCTATAATGGGACAATCCTACCAATAACGATGAGCAAACAAAAACGAGCAAGAGTGCCAGGGTTATGCATCCACATGCCAGCAGAGGGTACCCCTGGCCATCTCATGGGCTGCACCTCACCAGCTTAAGCCTGGTCACCCTCTGCGGTGTTTGGGGCATTTGACATGGTGGTGGGTAGGACCTCCAGTGCAACATGTCCTGGACAGTCACACAAGGTTGACCTCAGCAAGCAAAAATACACCAGGTCAGCTGGGCAATACAGATTGAACACAACTACAACTGGATCCTGTGAAAAACTCCTCTAGCTATTTTCACCACTTCTACAGTTATCCACCTGCATTTTATACATTTTATACATTTTAAAGTCATTCTTACCCACCACCTTCATTTTGATGGCTCTGGTAAGGTTGTAGGTTCTTCCATGGTCCTCAAATGTCACAACACAAGTGTAATTCCCTTTATATGCACTGCGGACAATGCCGATGACAAGCGTGGGCCCTTGCGGGTATCGCTCATGGAAGCCATTCACCAAGATGCAGTTCTGGAGTCAGGTAAAAAAACACTTTGAGTTTTGGGATTCAAAAGTACAGATATTGGTTTAAATGCTACCACAAAGATCTGTTTTTAAACTATATGATACTTGGGATTGTGATGTAGGCTGGACCTAAATCTTTGAGCATGCTGGAACACAAACTGGTATGTTCACTTTGAAAATGAGGTGATGAAGCAGATGACCCTAATAGCTTTATCCCACCTCAAATACAGACAATTTTATAAAAGAGAAATCTCTGATCCAGAAGTACATTTGCAATCAAGGTGAGCACCTCAGCAAAGTGAAGAGTGAAAGCAAAAAGAGACAGGAAGAAAATGGTGATGTATTCACAAATGGATACTAAGACTAAAGGACATGTCCTCCGTTGATGTCAGTGCGTCTAACTCTTTCGGGACTAATCAAGCTACCCTGCCTGACTTCAGCTGAGGACTAGGCCCTAAAATTAGCAACTGGTAAATGAGAATCTGTAGTACAGAAACATTAATAATTCTTCTCTTTCTGTCAGGAGAGGCAGGAAACCTCTGCCAAGAACCAACCTAGAGATCCCTTTTCAGGAAGCGGTTATGCAGATGACATCTTGATTGTCATAAAACCCAAAGATGTGCCCATTTTCTAAGAGATTATTTCTGAATGGTACCTTTCCAAATCAGATACAGCCTAATAGGGCAGTTTAAGACAGGAGTCATGTACCATTTTTAATGATTTTTATTAGGCATGGGATGACTTGCTGCCTGAAAAATTACTTCCGTGGGGCTTTTTGTTTCATTCTGCTAATTGATTGTTGAGATGTGAATTTCAATGAATGATACAAGTAAAGCATTTCAACTACTGGAGTGAAACTGCTCCTCCTGGATACCAAAGTATGTTTTTCCTGGAGGGTTTTAGAGTTGGGTTTTTTCTTTTGGGGTGTTGCTTTGTTGGTGTTTTGGTTTTGTTGGGGTTTTTTTTAAATCAGTAGCTCTATTTGTTGACAACTTTATTATTACATTCACTCATACAGAAACTCCTATCTAGAAATCCAAAAGCACTTCATAAGCAGTTAGAGAATTCAGTACCACAACCCTCTGGCTGCACATCTCCTGATAATTCTTATTCTCTCTCGACTAAAGGCATCTACCTAGAGAAAAACATTAAGGTCAAAATTTAATAAAATTAGAGCATAACTGTAGGTAAGAGCCTGAGGATGGCTGGAGACAGCCTAATTATCAGAGCAGTATGTAGGGTGGGGTAGGATGTCTCCATCTTCAGAAAAGAGGAAAGAGGTTCGCTGAATTGTGACAAACAGGTCAACCACGATGCTTGCAGAGGCCTGATGTACAACTTCATTTCCTGACCTCAAAGGATTCCTTTACAGAGACAGTGACTAGCTCACACAGCAGGTCAGGTACACTGCCCACAGCTGAACTGAGGTTCCTAAATCCTTCTAGAGTATTCTCCACTTGTGCACACTAGTCCAAAAAGTTTCAGTGTTAGCTCTCAATTCCCTTCCAAGAGCAGTTTTACTGTTTAACTCAATGGAAACAAAGCTCTTAAAATTAGTAAAGCTTCATTAACAGTTTCGTCACTGGGGAGACTCTGAAACATAGCTCCATGATTCCCATGACCACCATTGCTTTTTCAGATACAACACTGCATTCTGCTGCTGCCCAAGTAAGTCCTCCTTACCAAGTACCACTTGACAGTTGGTGTTACACTAGCAGGGTAAAACCCATCAATATCTGGACATATGATCTTCTCATTGGCGTGCTCCAAGTAGAACATCTCCTCAGTGGGTTTTATTGAATGGCTCACACAAGAGTGTTGGTCTTTTGGAACAACCTCCAAGGGAAATGCAACTTTGCTGCAGTAGGTTGTATTTCTAAGGACAGAGGAGGAAAGGGCTGATTAGTTGAAACTTGTCTACTCCTATAGCAGTGGAATGAAGTAAAAATCACATCTGCAATAACAAGCATCATAGCACTGATGAGGTATATACAGCCTTAGTTGACTCATTTGTAAATGGGAAAGGAAACATCATCAGGGATGGCCACACTAGCTCAGAAAAGCCTATAAAGATGACTAACAAGCAGTATCCACTCCCCTGCTGGTAAAGCAGATAATAGGGTCAATGACACTATGAACAAGTGACAGCGTGAGGAAGATCAAAAAGAGCTCTCACGCTCAGTGCATAGCAGATGCTATGTTCATTTTGTACCACACTCAGAGACACTTTTAATTTCCTAGAAGTCTGAATCTCATGAATCTTTGCCAAATTAGTATGCAGTCAAAACATTACCCCTGTATCTGAAGCTATTTTTACTCTAGACATACAGATCACTTCTTAATGGTGAATGCCTGTGGATTTTGCCATGGGCTCAGCAATAATATTTTCAGATACACTTGCAACTAGCAAGGAGAGGCATGCTCATTAATGTTTGCAAGGCTCCAAGCACTATTACGACGTAAATTGGCTCAGCACTGAGCAGTCTTATAATTGTAACATTCTTTTCCCACTAATGTTTATGTAAATGGTCTTGTCCCTACAGAAAGATATGGTGCTAACAGCATAAATTTCCTACTTCCATGAAAGTCCTTCAGTCATGCTTAAGACATCCAGAAGCTGCACCACACAACCTACCTGAGCATGCACGTATAATTCCCAGTGTCATTGAGAAAAGCAGGCCAGAACCAAAGGGTGTCTTTCTCCTTACTGATGTGATTGTCCGGGAGACGAAAATTAATGGGCTCCTCCAGATCCTGGTCCTGCCCGATCCTGTACCAGATCAAGGTTAAGCCAGCAGAATGGGCTGTGCTGTAATTGTACTTCAAGAAGGTCTCAAAAAGTGGGCATTTGATCTTGGCAGGTTCCCCCTCATAAATCTGGATCTGCTTCATCGTGTCCACACCCCAGTCATCACAGCGTTCTGCAGCCAGGAAGAACAAGGTACCTTAGCTTGCAAGTCTGCAGGAGAAAAAGTTCTGCCTACGTTCCCTACAGCCCTTGGTCCTATCCCCATTAAAATTAAGAGGCAAAATATGTAGTGTTTTCAGTGGAAGCAAACCAATCCTTTATAAAGCAGAAAAAGAATACTGTGTTCTTTTCTAGAGAACCTGAAAACCTCTACTTTCATTTGTAGATCTCCTACACTTCTTCCAAGCTATTTATCCCCCACCAGGAGGATAGGATAGGATACTCCTGCATAACACCAGGCTTCCTTATTATTCCAAAAAAATTAAACCCTAAAATCTTGTGCAGGAAGATAAAATTAGGACGAAAACAATGCTAAAGGTGTGTGTGTATCCATGCACACTGAGAGGAAAGATGCAAATATGGAAATAGAAGTATTGAAATAA